TATACAGAGTGAAGTAAGCCAGAAAGATAAAGACCAATACAGTACACTAACACATATATATGGAATTTAAAAAGATGATAACGATAACCCTATATGCAAAACCAAAAAAGAGACACAGATGTACAGAACAGACTTTTAGACTCTGTGGGAGAAGGCGAGGGTGGGATGTTCAGAGAGAACAGCATTGAAACAAGTATACTATCAAGGGTGAAACAGATCACCAGCCCAGGTTGGATGCATGAGACAAGTGCTCAGGGCTGGTGCACTGGGAAGACCCAGAGGGATCGGGTGGAGAGGGAGGTGGGATGGGGGACCGGGATGGGGAATACATGTAAATCCATGGCTGATTCATGTCAATGTATGGCAAAAACCACTACAATATAAAGAAAAAAAATAAAAAAATTAAAGAAAAAAAAAAAAAAGAGAGAATCCCTGGGTTAAATGAAAGCTTGCCAGCAAGAATTCTGGCCCACTGTGGCAAGGACCATATTTCAAGTAAAATAGTCTCATAAAGTCAGGGTTTCCAAAACAACAAAAAAGAATTCTGGTCCACATGTATACCTATGACTGATCCATGTGGATGTACAGCAGAAACCAACAAAACATTGAAATTATCTTTCAATTAAAAATAAATAAATTAAGGGAAAAAAAGAATTCTGGTCTATAGTGGTTGTCAAGATGGAGGCAGATGAGGGAGGGAGGGATTGGGAATTTGGGATTAGCAGATACAAACTATTATATATAGGATGGCTAGACAACAAGGTCCTACTATATAGCACAGGGAATTCATATTCAATATCCTGTAATAAACCATAATGGAAAAGAAAATGAAAAGGGATATCTGTATAACTGAATCACTTCGTTGTACACCAGAAATTAATACAACATTTTAAATCAACTATACTTCAATTTAAAAAAAATCATGAGGGCTTGCCATAGGCATGCAAGATTATTTTAACTCTATAAAATCAGGCAATCCAATTGCTATATTAGAATAAACTAAAACCATTTTTAAAAAAAAGGATTCTAGTCTAGTCTGTGGTTCAGAAAGCCAAAGATGGCACTCACCATGGAAGAATAAGGAAAAGGTAAAGCAAATTCCAACCTAACATAAGTAAGCATAAAGAAGTAAACAATACAAAGCATTATGATGTACATTCAAAGGTTTTCTCTCTCAGAGGTCAGTGTTTCAGGTCGTATCCATTCCCTAGTTCAACAAACACTAACTGAGCCACTACTTTGATTGCAGCCATGAAATTAAAAGACGCTTACTCCTTGGAAGGAAAGTTATGACCAACCTAGACAGCATATTAAAAAACAGAGACTTACTTTGTCAACAAAGGTATGTCTAGTAAAGGCTATGGTTTTTCCAGTGGTCATGTATGGATGTGAGAGTTGGACTATAAAGAAAGCTGAGTGCTGAAGAAATGATGCTTTTGAACTGTGGTGTTGGAGAAGACTCTTGAGAGTCCCTTGGACTGCAAGGAGATCCAACCAGCCCATCCTAAAGGAGATCAGTCCTGGGTGTTCATTGGAAGGACTGATGTTGAAGCTGAAACTCCAATATTTTGGCCACCTGATGTGAAGAGCTGATTCATTTGAAAAGACCCTGATGTTGGGAAAGATTGAAGGCGGGAGAAGGGGATGGCAGAGGATGAGGTGGTTGGATGGCATCACTGACTCAATGGACATGAGTTTGGGTAAACTCTGGGAGTTGCTGATGGACAGGGAAGCCTGGCGTGCTGCGGTTCATGGGGTTGCAAAGAGTCGGACACGACTGAGCGACTGAACTGAGCTGAACTTTGGACCACATGCCTTCTGGGCTCTGGATACACGTACAAGTGGGAAGCCAAGGACTTCCTAAGAATGAAAGTGAAAAGTGTCAGTTACTCAATCGTGTCCAATTATTTGCAACCCCATGGACTGTAGCCCGCCAGGCTCCTCTGTCCATGGAATTTTCCAGGAGTGGGTAGCCATTCCCTTCTCCAGGGGATCTTTCCAACTCAGGAATCAGACATGAGTCTCCTGCTTGGCAGGCAGACTCAACCATCTGAGCCACCAGGGAAGGCACCCCTAAGAATGCTGTCCAGCAATATTTTTGTTCAGAAACAGGGAATGTGGAATCGGAGGACTGTGGCAACTGAAAAGAGGAATTCCACCCTTCCACCAGCTTATAGCTTAATTGTCAGTTGAATGTTACATACAAACCATCCCTCACAGACCCAGGGGCCTTTAGGATTTTTTTAAAAAGCAATTCTTCACAAAAAGTCCCTTGGCTAGAGGGAAATTCATTCATCTCATTGATTGGGCTCAGAATCTTGAGCAAAGATCATTGCTGCACTGTTCCCAATTACCTCATTTACCTTCACTGCCCCAAACAGGGGCTTCCCTGATAGCTCAGTTGGTAAAGAATCCACCTGCAATGCAGGAGATCCTGGTTCAATCCCTGGGCAGGGAAGATCCCCTGGAGAAGGGAAAGCCCAACCATTCCAATACTCTGGCCTGGAGAATTCCATGGACTGTATAGTGCATGGGCTAGCAAAGAGTCAAAAACGACTGATGAACAGTCTAAAAATTAAGAGGAAAACAATGAATACTTGGTCAGTCAATAATATCTGCTGCTATAAAGGCAGCTTGGAGAAGGAAATGGCAACCCACTCCAGTGTTCTTGCCTGGAGAATCCCAGGGATGGCGGAGTCTGGTGGGCTGCCGTCTATGGGGTCGCACAGAGTCGGACATGACTGAAGCGACTTAGCAGCAGCAGCATAAAGGCAGCTTACTTGCACTCTCCACTAACCAGGCACCCTCACTGTCAACTCCCTCAGTGGGGACACAGAGAAGATGAACCAAAGGTGATGTCATAATATCAAGGATAAGGCTTGGAACATTCCCTAACTGCTCTTGACACCTTGAGAAGAGTATTTTGTAATCATCTCTTCCAGTTTGTTGAGTGTAATTATTAACCAACAAAATAACTCACTGATACCAACAGACAGATAAACTTTTATTGTTATTTTTTTCCACTTGGGTAGAAGTGGCAAACAACCAAAGGACTGCCCTAAAATGTGTTTGGCTACATTAATAAAACATGAGCTTCTCTAAATTTAAAGTTAAAATCCAATTAATTCATCAAAATGTCAGTTGTCACCTCAAGCATTTTAGTAAAAAGGAGATCTCTTGGAATAAAAAAGAATCTTCACAGGAATAGAGGGTGGAGTAAAGTGATATTTCTTATTACAATGACCACAGTAGCCTTGTCCCCTGATATTTACTCTTTAAATGAAGCCTCAGAGAAGGTATTTAAGAATACCACTGGTGGTACAAGAGACTCACTTTCCATATGGTCTTTTCCCTGCCTTAATTATTAAGTGTGTTTGGACCAAACACAATCAATCACTGCTGTAAGCTCCCCACCGACTCCCAGAGTATGAACCTTGGTGAAAATTTCTACAAAGCACACGGGACCAGTCACAAATAGAATTACAATGATAAATCTTAGGACTTCAGGGCCTAAATAGATGATGCTAGGAAGGCTGTAATTTGTACAATTGTCTTTATTTAGGCAATTCTAATTTCTTATTAAGAGAGCTGAGAACAGAAATAAGAGACAATGTCTAATAGATAGAAACTGAGAGTCCTACCCTTATCTATAAGAGAAATCGTTTCCAATAGGTTTTCATTCTCTTATCCTATACCCAGTGTTTCTCAGCTGAAAAGAAAACTTAGTCCCTTCCTTCTGTGATCCAAAGCCCATTTATCAGCTACAATTCTAGCATTAGCACCAGGAGATTGGAGGAGATGCAGATAACCTTTAAAGGTTGATACGGAGTTAAATGCAATCACTCTCATCCTTTAAAAACAAGTAAGGGCATAAAACAAAACATTATAAAATCATATGCTTCTTCCTGCACATAACTTAAAAGTTACCAGCTAACCGCCAGCATACCATTGACCTTTGTCTTGGAACCAAGGGCTTTAGGGAAAAACTAAAGGTAGACATATTTTTAGAACTCAGTATGATTAATTTACAAAAGCCTGATTTTTTTTCCTAAAGACTGATAAAATATGTTTCAATTTCAAGTACTGAAGGATAAAACCACATCTCAAAATCATTAAGCTGTTAGTCTTGATTACAAATGGAATGAAGCAATACTCATTTCTTGGATTGACAGAGGTGGTAAATGGCTCTCTTTCTGCTTGTAGAACAACAGTGATGGAATCACCAAATTATGATTCAGAGTTATAGGTTCCAGAGTTTGTTGTAGCCACCTTCTCTCTTCCAAATGAGAGAAAGAAATCCCCACCAAATTAGTCCTGGTCACACAGGTAATGTCTGTATAAACTGATCACAGCATTGCCAAAGCCATCAGCTGGAGCCACTAGCAAAGAAAAGTTTCAGCTGCTCCACCTGGAACCAAGCATTCATCTCTCAAGGACCAAATGCCAATCACTAGAATGATCCACAGGCAACCTCCAAACTCAGGACAAAGGGAATGAAAAAGATCTAAAATGAAGACCCCAGTAATTCCTGCATCATCAGGCCTAAGGGATCCAGGGAAGAGTTAAAATCCAGGCGTGCAGAGTCTGCTGTTTCTCACTAAGCCATCTGAGACCTAACCCGGGGCAGCTAACACTTTCAGATCCACAGAGAAGCCACACAGAACAAGAATACACTGAGCTTCCAGTTTCCCATGACACCTCAAGTGCAAGCAGATACAGAGAGATGTCTGTGGGAAGGAGAGAGGGTGTTAAGAAAACGGATCAGAAATTCCTAAAGGTCCGAGGGAACCGTCTCCAGGCCTCTTCCTAAAACTTGCAAACCTGGGTCTGTGTGTGCGGGCAGGACAGCAGGGAGGGGCTGGACGCGTGCCTGGGCGCGCTCCCGGAGACTGCTGAGCCAACTGCAAGGCAGTTGCACTAGCCGACCAGGAAAATGGGGCCGGGGTGGAGGCGCGGCGGGGGGCACCTGGGAGGGTATGGGGGGGTGGGGGTGGTCTTACTTTTGTAGCTCGTCGCCCAGGGCTGGTAGCCGTAGTAGCCGGTGATGCGCAGGATCCGCTCCTCGATGGACGTGAGCCCCACGGGCCCGCTGGTGAGGTCCTCCACCGAGCGCGACCATTTCAGATCCTCCTTAATCGCCTCGTCCACCACCAAGTATTTGAGCTGCCGGAGCTGGGGGCTGATGTCGGACAGTCTCCGGGGGCTGACGTCCGGTGACCTCCTCATGCCACTGAGGCCGGGGGCAGATTGGTAGGGAGGGACAGAAGGGGCGGGGGAGAATGTGGGTGAAATCCCAGGGCAAGCTGGGCGCAGCCCAGGGCCCTCACGGGCAGGTGCGGCCCTTCCCCGCTCCACCGCTCCCCCAGCTCCCTCGGCAGCCTGGGCGTCGGGTCCCGTCTCCGGACCCGGCACTGGGCGCTTCGGGGCAGAGCAGGTTGGGGCGAGTGGCGAGGGAGAGGATGCCCTAAACTTCCCAAACAGCTCCGCCGCGCGCGCCGCCCCCTCCCCAGCTTCAGACTGCCAGTGTCCCAGCTGCCGAAGGCCACCTCGCCGCCCGCTCGCGCCCCCGCGCTCGGGGTGCTACTCACATGGCGATGCCTTTGCCCCTGGGTGCGCCGCCGGGAAACTCTCGGATCCCCATAGGCAATGTCAGAGTAGGGCCGGGAGCTCCCAGACTTGAGGCTGAGGGGCCGCGGGCCCGAGGTGCCCGCGGCCGCGGCCCCTGGGAAGGTGGGCGCGAGGCCCGGCGAGGGTCCCCACGCCGCCCGGGCGCGCCCGAGCCACGGTCGGCGAAAGCCTCGGCGGTGTGCGGCGCGATGCGGGCGCGGTGGCTCAGCCCGGCTCCAGCCGGTCCGCGGGGCTCGCTGCAGCCCGCCGGCCGCAGGGCAGTACCAGCGCCGCCCCCCTTGCCTGTAGCCGCCGCCACCGCCCCGGGCAAACGGCAGGCGCGGAAGCCCCCGAACCCGGAGAGCGCCGGCGGCGGTATGCGCTCTCGAGGCACCCGGGAGGACCGGAGGTGCCGGCCCCCAAGCGCGGGAACCAGGCGGGGGCGCTGCTGCCCCCTTCCCGCCGCCCACGTGTGCGCGGGGCTCCCGAGCCCGCACCAGCCGCCCGCGCTCCGCCCCGCAACCTTGGGGCTAGGGGCGCGCTCCTCCTCCCCTATCACATCATTCTGTTCCTGATTCAGTAGTTCAGCTCAGTTTCAATCTCTCTTTCTCTTTCCTCCTTCTAAAATAATGAGCAAAAACTACTTGGAAAGACAGAAACCTGGTTCCAAACCCACCAAAATCATGCTCAGAATGCCAAGTGGTATTTCATAGTCAGAGCTGAGACACTAGTGACTTGATTTATTGTGCTGTGGGCATCCTTCGGTCACCCCTGGCCCTCAGGGAGCTTACATTCTCGTGCTGACCCTGTTACTAAATCAGTTTTCTCTTCTTGGATTTCTACTTTATTTAGCCTCTAATTTTTTTTTCTTCTGTCTGCAAATCATTCTTTCTAGAACACCTAATCAGCTTTCATAATTTTTTTTCTGTTATAAAAAAATACATATAGGTTCATCCTGAAGAATTTAGAAAATACAGAAATAGGTAGAGACGAAAATACCCAATTTTTAGCCCAAAAGGAAGGACTACTTTGAATTAAGTGGTCCACAAATTTTTCCATTCTTTTTTTTTTTTCAATGCAAAATACCTTTTTCACAAAATCAGGATGGAACTGTACACGCTGCTTTTGGTACTTTTTTATATTAAAATTATATTGTGTCTTAGCAAATTAGGAACAGAGAGAGGACTTCCTCACATTATAAAAGACATCTTCAAAAACCTCCAGTTAGCATCATACCGATGGAAAGAAACTCCCGTAGTTTAGGAGCGGGGCAAGGATTTCTCAGCACTCCTCTTCAGTATTCTACTGCAAGTCCTAGCTAATGCAATTAGGTAAGAAAAGGAAATTTAAAAGTTTGTCTATTGGGAAGAAAGAAATAAAACTACTCTTTGTTCACAGATGACATGATCACCTAGGTAGAAAAATCTCAAAAAATCAACCACGTGATTGACCTGGAACAGGTATGAATTTTAGCAAGATTGCAGGATTCAAAGTGAATGTACAGAAGTTAATCAACTTCCCATATACAAGCAATAAACCATTGTAATTTGAAACTGAAAATGTAATACCACCTACCTTGGCACACAAAAGTACTCAGGTATAAATTGGGCATAATAGGTATTGAGATCTGTATGAGGAAAACTACAAAACTCTGAGGAAAGAAATCAGAGATGAACTAAATAAATGGAGAGAATGTTCAGGTTCATTGGTAGAAAGATTCAGTAATTTTAGGATGTAGTTCTCTCCAATTTAACATATAGATTCAGTGTAATCCCAATCAAATCCTCAGCAAGTTATTTTGTGACTATCAACTGAGTGCTTCAAAAGTTCATATGAAGAGGCAACAGACCCAGAATAGACAACACAATATTGAAGGAGAAGAACAAACTTGGAGGATTAACACTACAGCGCTTCAATGCTTAGGATAAAGCTGCAGCAAACAATGCGGTGGGGTATTGAGGAAAGAATGAATGAATAGATAACTGGAATGGAATAGAGAGCCCAGAAACAGTCACACAATTATGGTCGACTGATCTTTGACAAATGAGCAAAGTCGGTTCAATGGAGAAAGGATAGAAGTAGCTGAGTGGTGTCTGACTCTTTGTGACCCCATGGGCTGTAGTCCATGAAATTCTCCAGGCCAGAATACTGGACTGGGTAGCCTTTCCTTTTCCAGGGGATCCTCCCAACCCAGGGATTGAACCCAGGTCTCCCACATTGTCGGCGGAGCCTTTACCAGCTGAGCCACAAGAGAAGCTTGGAGAAGGATAGTGTTTTCAATAAATGGTGTGAGAACAACCAGACATCTACTTGAAAAAAAAAATGATCATAGGCCTAATAAAATATTAAAAACTCTAGAATATAATGTAGGAGAAAATCTAGCTAACTTTGGGATTGGTGATGTCTTTTTAGATATAAGTATTCTCCATGATCTGAGAAGGCAATGGCACCCCACTCCAATACTCTTGCCTTGAAAATCCCATGGACGGAGGAGCCTAGTAGGCTGCAGTCCATGGGGTCGCTAAGAGTCAGACACAACTGAGCGACTTCACTTTCACTTTTCACTTTCATGCATTGGAGAAGGAAATGGCAACCCACTCCAGTATTCTTGCCTGGAGAATCCCAGGGACGGGGGAGCCTGGTGGGCTGCCATCTATGGGGTCGCACAGGGTCGGACACGACTGAAGCGACTTAGCAGCAGCAGCAGCAGCAGCATCCTCCATGATAGAAAAAAAGTGGTAAATTGGACTTCATTAAAAGTAAAAACTTTTGCTCTTCAAAAGACCCTGTCAAGATCATAAGATGATAAGCCACAGCCTTACAGAAAATATATGCAAAAGAAATATTTGACAAAGAGCTAGAATAAATAAGATAAGTAACTAGGATAAATAAATAAGAACTCTTGAACTCAACTATAAGAAAATTAAAAATTCAATTTAAAAATTAGAAAGATATCTGCACAAATATATCACCAAAGATGATATACAGACCATCAAAAAACATGAAATGATGCTCAACATCATATTCCATTAGGGGACTGCAAACTAAAACAATGAGTAAGATACCACTACACACTTACTAGGATGGATATAATTCAAAATACTGACATCAAATGCTGACAAGGATGTGGACCATCAGGAACTCTCTTGCATTGCTGGTGGAAATGCAAATGGTATGGCCACTTTGGAAGAGTTTTGCAGTCTCTTACACAACCGAATATCTTCTAACTATGTAATCCAGCAATTGTACAGGTTGATATTTATCTGCATTGAGTTGAAAACTTAAGTTCACACACAGACCTGCACAGATATATTTACAGAAGCTTTATTCATAATTGCCAAAATATGGAAACAAACAGTATGTTCTCCAATAGGTGATGGGTAAAGGGTGGTATATTCATATACTGGAATATTATTCAGTGATAAAAACTAGTGAACTATCAAGTCGTGAGAAGACATGAAGGATCCTTAAATGTGTATTGCCAAGTGAAAGTAGCCAATGTTAAGGGGTATATAGTATATGATTCCAATTATATGACATTGTGAAAGAGACAAAGTTACGGAGACAGTAAAAAGGTCATTGATTACCAGGGGTTCCTGGTGTTTGTAGGGATAAATTGGAAGGGGACGGATGAATGAGTGAGCACGGTGGGGGAGGGGGTTGGTTTAGGGCAGTGATACTCTTCTGTATGTTACTATAATAGTGGATAAGTGTCATTTTACATTTGTTAAAATCCATAGATTGTATCAATACAACACCAAGAGCTAACCCCGATGTGAACCCTGAGGTATCAACTTTGGTTGATAATGATATGTCAGTGTCAGTTCCCCGATTGTAACAAGCATATCATACTGAAGCAGGATGTTAATATTGGTGGGGAGGCTGTGTGTGTATGTGGGGTGGCAGGAACTTGGGGGCTGTACTTTAGCAGAATTTTACTGTGAACCTAAAATTGCTGTAAAACACAGTCTATTAACTGAAAAAAAATATATTTTTCAGCTTTTCAGTGTAATAATATTCTTCTAAAAGATTGTTTTTACTGGATGTATTTTAATTTTGATGACTGCTATGGTCACAAAAGCAACAAAGCCATTATAAATAAAGTAACATCGGGTATATAAATTTAAAAAATCAATGTCCTTGTACATACTTTTAAATCTGTGTGTCTGGTGGGGTGGCTTAGAAATAAGGCACTTCTCTCTCCCTCTGTCTCTCTCTCTGTCTTTGTGTGTGTGTTCTTGCGTGAAGAATTTCTTCTTGGTGCCTTCTTTTGAGACATGGGACAACTCTTCTTTTACCCTTGAACTATCTCATCTTAAGCTGGTCTTGAACTGGTGTTCCTAGAGTATCCTCAGTGTTGGAATCACTCAGGAATGTTGTTTAAAGTGCTGATTCTGAATTTTTACCTGTGAGTGTGAGCATGGAATTCTCCGTTGTCACTGATCCCCTGGATGGACTCTAGGCACGCTAAGAACCACTCATGTAAATAAGAAGCGAAGTTTCATAAACTCAGAATCCTCCACCTTGCTTTTATAGGCACAAGGAAAGATCTGGGCACGGCCAGAAGAAGACAGGTGTCTCTCCTCACTCAGTCACCACATTCTGGCTACTGGAACCCTTGGCAAGGTCTTTGATCTGGGCCTCCGTTACCTCCATAAAAAGAAGATAACCTTGCAATATTGTGGTGAAGATAAAATGAGTTAATACATGTAAATTGTCTAGAATAGGGCCTGGCACATGGCCAGGAACAGCACTTAAAATACATAAGCTATCATTATTAGCAATGCGGTCAAAGGTTGAAATAATTTTATTTTTGACAGTCATATCACAATGTTGACTCATGTCTAGGTTTATTGCCTAAATCATCTACATAATTTTCACATGTGCAGCTGCTAAGCCACATCATTCTCCTCTTTTTAAAAACTAAATATGGGATTTAGAGTCAGATAAAAATGACTTAAATAGTGGCTTCATGCACCAGCTAAATAACTTGTGGACCTTATTTAACTCCCTCAAGCTTCATTTTTGTATACC